CAAGTGTGCACACCATACTTGGCACCATATATTCTTTTCAACCCTAAGTAAAACATGGATCAATATCACAGGATATTGTTTTCAGACCCATTTCCAGATATCAGTCTTTGGATACACTTTTATTTTTGCTAATGTTCTTAAAAAGTGGTAGTGTAACATAACCTATATTCTAGACATTAACTAAGCATGACAAGTATAGCATGACTATTACTTCCTATGAGCTGAGCACATTTTAGGACTAACACAAGGTTTTAATGCAACCTAAGGTCATAAGATTAATTTTCTTAAATGTAGGATCTTCTGGCCAGCTAGGTTGGCTATTATCCCCAATCTGAATAACAGACCTCTTATCACTTACAGATTATCTCCAAATTACTCTTTGTGGGCCCTGACTCAGCACTATTAGCTGTTCAGTTTGGTATAAATCTGGTCAACTGAACTGTTATTCACCCCACATTTAATGACCTGTGTACCAGACATATACTGTGTGGGTCCTGGCTCTGCCCTCAGATCATCCCTCACTTTTTCCTTTCTGCTGTGTTTCAGGAAGGCAGACTTCTGTGGACTGTGTACCTGAGGCTCTTGATCAACAAACAAAAACCTTGACGGTAAGTCTGGAGGGTAGGTGGGAGGGAGAAGTAAGGACATTTTTCCCACATGTCTATGCTAGAGTGGCCTCTGCAGCAGCAGATGCACATCTTCCCTGAATCCAGATCCCATTGGGCAGGTCCACTGTGTTCCAGTGTTGTAAAATAACTATCCCAGGAGTTCAACCAGCCTTGCCCACCCTTTTTCTGGTGGTAGCTGTTGCTAAGTACTGATTCTCCCTCGTTGGCTTTTCAGTGTTTCACATTAAAAGAATTACTATTTCTGCTTTAGATTTCCATAGGTCTAATTGTTTCTGTTTCCCAGTTGATTCTGGCTATCTGAGATATTATGTTTCCAGTACTATCATTTCTGAAATGAAAATATACTGTGTACATGGTGTTACCTTCTTTACCATTGTAATGACTGTAAATAAGGTGAAAATATAGCTTTTCATGTCTTGATCTTACTGGAATTCAGGCAGGTTTCTAACATGACTGAAATAAATCTCTGAGGATTGCTTTCAATTCTTCTGTTAAACAGGTTGGTGAGGAATATCAAGTTAGAGTCCATAATTCCCAGGAGACTTTACCTCTTTTGAGAACCAGGACAGTGGTTTCTTGATTCCAGATTTCTTTATCCCTTGTTTCCCCAAGAGAAAAAAGGCACTGAGAGCAGAGATGGAGCTCCATTAGTAAATGATTTTAGCAAATGTTTTCCCAGGGCTTACATATATCATTACCTTTTCACTAATATATCCCTTCTTTTCCACTCTTTCTTCCCCATGCCCTTTCCCTCCAGTGGTAAAGGTCATTCCAATGGAAGACATGCTGCCTCTTTTCTCTACTTGTTGAAGTCATGCTCTCTCTTGTCTATCTTGGGCTTTTTGGTTGGTTTGAAGTACTTCTCTGAACTTCAGCCAATTCCTGGTGCTGGTTCTTCCCTGTCCCATCCCTGGCCCATGACTTCAGGCCGATTGGCCCTGTGTAGTCTTGCTCTGCATCTGTCTGGTATTCTCTGCACAGGCCACTCCTCCACCTGAGCTCCTCTCCAGACAGAGCTCTGGTATTCTCTGCACAGGCCACTCCTCCACCTGAGCTCCTCTCCAGACAGAGCTCTGTACTCTTTGTTTCAGCCATGCTTCTTGCCATCCACAGACCAATTGCTCCCAGTCATAGAGCTGCAACCTGGGTTTTCAGAATCCATAGCCCTTTATCACTGTCTCTTCCAGATTCACTAGCTATTCCACTTTTTATTTTTCCATGCATTTGAAATCAACTCTTTTTACTATATTTAATATGAATTGCTACATCTACAAAGAAGGTGCTATAAACCTATTGTAAGTTTATGTCATGGACTTTAAGATAAAAGCATGCTCTTTCTCTAATTCTCCTTTTTTTTTTTTTAATGGGAGACCTCACTGGGGTCCCAAATCCATCCTGCTTCCTTTAGAGGCCCCTGATCAGAATGAGATACTCTTAGGTGTTGATCTTCAACTTTTAATTTTTTTGCTTACATCCCTCCGAAAAGAATTAATGTACAATATGATTCCCTCTCTTAATGTTAAGTTGATTTTTAGACTTTTTCATAAGTTTCTATATTGGAAAATACATAATATTTAGGATTTTATAAATGCATTTTAGTAAAATAATTATTTCATTCGTACATATGTATCCAATGGCATCTAAATATTGAAGAAGGCATTGTTTATATATCCTATCACCCGCTGAAAAATACATACAAAAATTGTTGTCTAATGGTCAGAGCTTCATTGTATCTTTTTATTTTTTGAATATCACTTCCTATTTCACTTACCCTAGACAAGTTTATCTTAATGCAAATATGTTTATGTTTGACAGCTCTTTGATTTACTATCCTTATGTGTCTTACTATAAAATAGGTGGTGCCTAATTAGCACATATATTATTAAAATGTAAAATGTTATATAAATATTGATAATTATTAAACATAAAAGATAAAAAATTATTGGAAATGGGTCCCTTTTTAAAATTGTTCATGAATCTGAGGATATATATATATATATACATATATGGCTTATAGTTAGAATGATTCTATGAGGTAGAATGCAGAATAATTCTATTTTTCACTTTTTGTAATTGTAAGGGCTAAGAAACCTTGTTCATATGAGTTAGTTGATGGGAATTAGAAGCAATTTTGTTATAGTTATGTATAATATTCTTTAAATGACATGATTTATGTGAAAAAACTTTCTCATTTTTTCTTATTGGCAGCTAACTCTAGCTGCAAGACTAGCATCCTTCAATTTTGTAGAGAGCAGAGCATTTGATAGCCTCTGCTTTGCATAAGAATCATTTCAGTCATGCTAGTTCCATAGGTGTCAATATTTCTGGTCACTCTTTTGCTCAGCACTATGGAGGTCTTAAACACTGCAATGGACTGCATTTGTGGTGAGAGAGGAAGGCTTTTTATGAAAAGGCAAAAAGCAATAGTAAAAGAGGAAGTGTTTTAGGGGAATCCCAAGAGCCCTGTGTGGCAAGCACACTCTCAGGTTCATCAACTTTGGGAAAGAGTACTTGGGGAAGATGGAGATCAGAAACTTGCTTCCTAACACTGCCAGTGCTTATGCGTCCCTTAGGAAGTCTTTGTGATCCCTATCTGCCCCAGTATGATAGCCATTACTTAAGTAACAAATCTCTCCATATCTGAGGAATCCTAGATCCACCTAAAAAGTAGACATCCAGAATGAGAGGCAGTTGCAGCCTGAAAGAGTAGAATGGATGACCCTCTAAGTGCCCAAGGTTCCTAAATACACTATAGAGTTCAAATATGGATCAACAAATGTGAGGGTGGTGATTTAGGTGTATGTGAGAGGATCTTAAGAATGTACGGCTTTGTACATTCACATATTAGTTGAACTCAGACTAACATCAGTATTCTAAAGTTCCTCCCCACTGATGCCAAGATGTAGGGAATACAATAATGACAGCAGTTACATCTCAGCCAGTGTCTCTCCTGGTGACTGGCTAATGGTTGAAATGTGGTGAGGTCACTGTCCCTGCAGCAACTGAGTCTTTTAGTAGCGTCTCTGGATACCTTCTCTATGCTCAGAACCACGCTCAGTTCTTTATTTCTTTGAATGTTTACAACAATCCTGTATGGTAGAAGATACTATTATCCTTCTTTCACAAATAAGAAGAATGTGACATTATGAAAGATGAAATAACCACCTAAGGACACAGACCAAATCAACATTCACCCTCATGTCTAATCCTTCTTGGGTATCTGTCTTTGTACCAAGTCATAGTCACACCATTGCTGCCAAGATCATTAATCTTTGGGGGCTCAAATACACAAGACTCTCCAGAAGACAGAGCAGATCCTCTAAGGCCTAATAAGTAGAATGGGGAGGGCCAGAGAGCAGCTGGCACAGCTTAACTGAAATGATTCAGTAGGCACAAGCCAATCAACAAGTTGTTGAATCATAGTTGTTTCATGTCTTGCCCCAAAAGACCTTTCTCAGAAAAATTAAAAGAATAAATGTCCTCTTTAGATTTAGCTCGTGGCTCTGTTGGGGTGGAGAGATCCCTAAACCCAGAGAATTTGTTACAGGTATTGACTTAGCTAGACTCTTGGGCCATCCACTTTACTTCTCTGGACCTTGGCTCTTTATCTTCAATAGATAGGACTTGGTCTAAAACTTTTCTGACCCAAATTAAGAAAAAAAATCTTTACACCATGGCCTAACACACACACACACACACACACACACACAAACACACACAATAACAGTTTAACAAAACAACACTCAGAGAGCTAGGGTGTAGCTCAAGTGGTAAGAGTACCCGCAGAGCAAGTACAAGTCCCTGAGTTCAAACCCTAGCTCTGAAAAAAAAAGTTGTTTATTAAAACAACACTCAGCCCTAGTGTGTGATGCCCTCTGATCTATTTATTCAATTCTATTCAGTCATTTTGTGGGTGGTGGAGGAAGTGTCTATCTAGTTGCTACTCACTAAATTGATATTTTATTCCATTAATGAGTGGAAAATTATGGCTTAAAAATCTCTGGACTAGAGGAATAAGCTACTAGAACAGAGGAGCTTTCTAATCACATCAGGAATGTTCCACGGAAGAACTATGAATCAGGCAAAGACCCTCGCAGGGTCTCATTTTCCTGGCTTCCTCTAGCCCCACTTTTGTTTCTACAACTCCTACCTCTGTTTACCTTACTTTAGCTGCTTTATACAGAGACATCAAAAAATGTTTCTGAGCACAGTATTTGTAGCCCTCTGAAATTTCTTTCTCCTTAAAACTGTTCTCCAGGTTGTGCTTGAGCTACTGTTAGTGGGTTTCTGTTCCTTGCAGCTAATTCAGTCCATCTGCTGGACTCTAGTCCATGGATGATTCCATGGATTCTAGACCCTGCAACCACTCACCTTTGACTTTCATGGTCAGGTACTTGTAGTCCCAGGCGACCCCACAGATGACCAGGCAGCGGTACTGCCCTGCATCTCTCACTTGGACTTGGGGGATGTGGAATAAAGCCTTTCCCAGGGGCAGCTGCTCCTCTAGCAGGGTGGCTCTCTCACTGTGTGAGGATGTATCATTTCCCACCTTTTGCAAGCTGGCTCTTATTTCTTCAAGTTGCATACAATCTCCAGTGTCAAAATCACACTGCAGGGTCACATTGCTGCCGTAGTCTACTGTGTACACTTCCTTAGGGACTGTCACTGTAAATAATGCTGAAAAGGAAAGACACTTTGCTCTTGTCTGTTTTTTATGTCACATTTCAGTGCTTCCAGAATGAGCACTGAGACCCCTTCCACTGTCATCTCCCAGTCATTCTCTGGTCATTCCCTTGGGTTCTTCTCCCCCTTCAACCATCCCATCCGGAAAGATTTTTTTTTTTTTGACAATACTGGCATTTGAATTCAGAGCCGTGAGCTTGCTAGGCAGCTGCCTACCACATGAGCCATGCCTCCAAACCTTTTTGCTTCTGTTATTTTTCAGGAAGCATCTTGCAGTTTTGCCCAGGCCCACCTGGACCTTGATTCTCCCTCCTTATGGCCTCCCAATTAGCTGGGGTAATAGGCACGTGTCTCTATGCCCAGCATATCTGTTGAGAGGGGGTCTTGCTAACTCTTTGCTCAGGCTGGCCTACAGCTGTGTTCTTCCTGATCTCTGCCTCTCAAGTGGCTGTGAACCACTGTATAGGGCCCAAGAGTAGAGTTCTTGGTCCACTGCCCTGAGGTCATTCTCTTCCTTGAGCATTCCCACATGTATGGATGACAACCTTCCAGTTCCTTTCTGGCACCCCAGCAGGAGCTTCTGATAAATGCACTTATGGTCCCCACAACATCTCCCACCAGCTCCCCTAGAGCCCTGTAGTTATTCCAGGTCATCCTTCATGTGAGAATGAAATTTCTCTTTATGACTCCTCTGCCATCAAGGTCTGCATCCACTTACTTAATTGCCTTTACATCCTATTATCTGGCTCATTAGCTTCAATCCATATGAATCGATTTATACCTTTCTATGCTAGCTATCACTTCCCTTAACTAGTGATAGAAGTGACAATGATTACTTGTTGGGTTTTTTAGTCTTCCTAGGAAGCCAGTGAGGTCGGCAGTCCTATTATCCTGTTTTTAGAAAGTGAAACTGAGGCACAGAAAAGTTAAGCAAATTGTCCAGGATCACTCCAAGTATTTCTCTAAGTCTCAAATGCTGCTAATCACCACATCATATGAACCCACTATAGATGTTTTCTATTTTATATTAATAAAGGGGAACAGACAATGGAACTAGTACTTAGTGTGTATCTACTATGACACTTTATAACTCATTTCATCCTGAAAACATGACCTGAAATACATTGTTATTAAAGTTTTATGTTTGAGGAAGCTGGTTCAAAGAAGCTGGCTTCAGGAATACAGCTAATAAGTTTAAAATTCAGAGCTGGTCAGTGTTTAATTTCCAAACTTGCAGATTCTTCTACTCAATCAGTATTTCCCAAACTGTGAGGCACATACCACTAGAATATGTAAGATAATAAAAGCTTAACATGAGTTGAATTATTTAGAAAGAAATTTATCTCCTTTTCAAATTTGTCTCAGTCCTTCAATTACATATAATTTACAACTAGGCTCATATCTTTATCACTGGCTATTTTTACTTTTTAAAGAAAACAGGAAGCTTCCAGGCAGATAAACGGCATCAGGGCAGAATTTAATTACACTGATTTATTTTCATTGCATTTACTGTTGTTTGGCTAGTGAAAGTGATACTGGTTTTCTACGTGTGCAGAGTAACTTGTTTTGTTAAAAAAAATAAAATGTGAATTGATTTAAATAACTCTAGAAAATAGTATAAAATGGCCAAACATGGCAAAACTTGTGAGTAGTGTTTGCATGCAGAAAGCATGAGAAACTGTACAAAATTATTCTGCTCCTATCATTAATAAATGGGTATCCTATGATGGAACTATGTGAAGATATTGAAGTAGTTTCTGAATTACTGAAAATTAAAACAAATTATGTTTAGTAGAGCTTGTTTCATTCACTTATTAATTTATTTAATCATCCACTCAACAAATATTTGGAGCTTCTTTTAAACATTCTCTATTCAAGGAGTCATTTAAGTATAAAATATTATATGGGAAAGCATAGCATTTAGTGACAGATGAGCCTGGGTTCAGGTCCTGACCACATCAGGATTGGGAGTCCTTTGCTTGGGAGTGCACCATTTAACCTCTATGAATCTCAGCCTCTTTTCTGTAAAATGAGATTGGTATCTACCTCTTAGTATTGAGGGGAAAACTAGGCATGGTGGAACATGCACAGTGCCCTGGTCTGGCAGCTTGTAGGCACTTGGCAAATTTTCTCTTGTACCATGTTTTAATTATTGGGAAAGTAATAATCCATTTATAGAATACATAGCTATTCTATTTTAGCCAGATATTTTACTAACTGGGATAGTTCATTCCCTGACTAGATTCAACAGTATAAGTAATTTTGGGGTTTCCTGCTGTATTAGTTACTTTTGCATCATCATGACCTGGGGTGAATGTCTTAAATACATGGGGGAACAAGGATTTCAGAGATTCATGGTTGGTTGGCCCCATGTGCTTCAGCACATGAAGGAAGAGACTGCTCACTTTGTGGCTGACAGTAAGCAGAGACCTGTAAGGAAGGGACCTGGGACCAGGTATGACCTTCAAAACCCACTCCCAGGGAACTACTGCCACCATTTAAGCCCCACCTCCTAAAGTTTCCACAGCCTCCAAAATAGCACTACCAACTGGAGACCAAGTATTCAACATAAGAGTCTGGGGGCAGAGCATTTCATATTCAAACCATAGCACCTGCTACTTGAATAATTCTCAGTGCAATTTTCATCTAATTCAAGTTTTCCTTCCATTATCCTGAATATCTTAGAAGGCAAATAACCAGATTGAATTTTGTTCCTCTAGTATGTAACACAAACTAAATCTCAATTAAGGGTTTGGGAAATAAATGACAGAAAAAGAGAGACAGAGAAAGAAAAGATGAGCCTGAATATATTCACTACCACTAAACTGGCCTTTGCCAGAGATCACATGACTTGGCGTTCTCAGTTGCTGCACACTGGATAGTGATATGCATAAATGAGTTTTTTAAAAAATGACTGGCAAGTATACCTCTTGCCTTCACTCCCTGTCTTAATCACAGCTAAAACATTAATGTGCCTTTCTACAGAGATCTGTGGTACTGAGCAGAGTTCACATATATACAGAATTCTTTTGATGCCAGATATTACATATCTGTGCTTCGGGATCTGCTGTATGATTTCATTTTGTGGAATCCACTGCACATTTATAACAATGTCTCATATACTCCACCATACTGTCCATGATGGAACCCTCTTAAGGCGATTCCTTTATGATGGAGCCATCTCTAAATAACTAAGAGACACCTGGTGCCAAATCCATTCTGTCCCAAGAGAATGCATATTCATTTATTCATGAACAGTGTATTAACTAGCTCCTAAATGCCAGGTTTAGGATTTTACCACTACTTTTACTCTTCTCATAGTACTTCCTTTTATCATTTTACTTTAGATACTAAAACAGGAAAGAGGGAAGGAGTTGGGAGCATGCAAGGAAGGTTGGTTTCTGTGTCTGATTAATGAAGAACTGGATAGATTTTGGTGTGGGCTGCACTGAATCTGTTTAGCAAATTTATTTACCACACTCTTCTTTCTTCTCATGAGAGAAGGAACGCCTGTAACTTCCTCTGGAACTCCCCTTAGCATACAGCAGAACTCCCCTCTTTGCTGTTCAAACCTTTTCTAAACATGGTTTTCTTCTCTTTTCACTTTCCCCTCTGCCTTGCACAGAGTATGTTCTAGGGCTTATAGGCTTAAAGTATGCTGCTTTTCAGACTGGTGACATTTTTTGGCTGGTATATTCAGAAGAGGAAAGAGCAATTAGAGGACACAAATCATGCATCCTGAGTACTTAAGAGTGATTGAAGATTGTTATTTGGTCCAATTTTGTCCCAAATAAGTCTTCTGAGACATGCAAAGCTTTGATTACCCCATATAAAATGAGGGGTTTAAGAAATGCAATACATTTTTTGAAATTTTAAAACATTCTTACTTTTTTGTATATTATTGAGGAAATAAAATACTCAAACAATTCTGTGAAGAGGTTTTTTCAAGCATGGTTGCGCATTAGAGTCATTAAGCTGAGGGCCATGACCTTGGCTGACATTGGAACCACCTGGGAGGCTGTCTTAGCCTGTTTAGTATTGCTTTAACAAAATACCTAAGGATGTGTACTTTATAAAGAGGCTCATGATTGGTGGCTGTACAGCTCAGGCAGCATGACGCTTAGCATCCAGATGAGGGCCTTACAGCTGTGTCACAACACAGTGGAGAAACAGAAAGAAAACTTGCCACGTACAGTAGAGGCTAAGTGCTTGGGGTGGCTTAGCTTTTTAACAACCCACTCTCTAAACTCAGGTTTAATCCATTCATGAAGGTGGAGCTTCTGTGACCTGATTACCTTCTACTGGGCTCCACCTCTTAGAGGTTCAACCACCTCAACACCACCACACTGGGACTGCGCTCCCAGAACATGAGCCTTTGGGGAACACATCTGCAAGTCATGGTAGAAGATTTAAAAGAAAATACAAATGCCCAGACCCCAGTTTGGCTCCTTTATGTTAAATTCTTTCAGGGGTGGGGCCAGCATCAAGTTTTTAAGATCAATTTTCTGGGAGCTTCTAGTGTGTAGACAATAGTGAGAAGTATTCATTAGACAAATAAAACACCTGCAGTTGCAAACACCTTTTACCATCAAGTCAAAGTGTTGTCTTCAGTTTCTCCTGAGAGCTAGTTAAGAAACGCAGAATCTCAAGCTTGCCTTAAACCTAGAGAACTAGGATCTGCATTTTAACAATATGGAGACAAATCACATGCACACTAACATTCAAGAAGCAATTGTAATACTGGTTTGCATTTGGACAGTTTTTGAACTTGGAGAGCTTGTTAGGAGGTTCTAGCAGGGGTGCACAGCTACTCATATAACTCAAAGAATGGTATTCCTCTCTTGAGGAAGGTTATCCTCTTTGACCAAGTAGACAACTTTTACAGGGAGGCACATGGAGCAGTGAGGGAAAAAGGGACACCCACTGACCCAGACAGATGTCCCAAATCAACCCTGTGATCAATGAGGTGACAGATGTCGCTGCCAGATCACCCT